TCCCTACCAGGTCTACATGAGCTTCTGATCAGAACTTCAGAATTCTCGTAAACGCGCTCGGTAATCTTAATTTTATAATTTCAATTTTCATACACACTTAACACCTACTAAGTACACGTAATCTCGTGCAATCAAATTGAGACTGTCATCTCTAACACAAACTTCAAACTGATGCACTTGGGCTTTCCTACTAATAGTAAACTCTAATACTAGTAACTTCAGTCAGTAATCCGGCCACCTGCAGGTGGCGTTCTTACTACATATGGCTGGGATATATATGAAGCATTACTACTACTAGTAGTAGTATGCACTGTTTAGCCAGGGAGCAACCAAGAAGCCCTTAATAGAAAATTATAATATATTGACCAGTTTCTCTGCAGCACTTCTGAGATGAAGTCACAACTACTGGTAGCTGAGCCTCTTACTGGAGTTTTCTAGTACCTTAGGAGTACTACTAACCTAGTAATAGTTGCTGCTGGTGCTGCTGGTAACAAGATGTAAACGTAGTGGTGGGTTTACCAGTACAAGGACGAGGAGGCAGGTCTTGACGAGCTTGTTTTCTCTAATTCGTCGAATCCAACTGCCAATCCAACTGCCAAAAACTCCAAAAACCGTACCATAAAGTAAATTAGGGACACTCCGGTGCGGACAGCAAAAAAGGCCGATGAGTACTCGTACCCACACCGGTTGTAACACCGGTACCCTCATTTATTTGGGGACGGGAGTATTTTTTTCTTTCTTTCATCGCACAGCAGTATTTTTTATGCTAAAAATACTTTTTAGTATGTTCCTAGTAATTTTGATCTTGCCGAAAACTACAAGAAAGCTAACTATCTTTTTCCGTTCACTTTTACGTTGAAACATTTTTTCGTGCGTATTGTTGGTTGGACGTATTTGGCAATTTCTGATGGAAGGATTAGAACGACTTCCACATTTTATTCGCGGAGTGTGGTAGTACAAGTACCACGTAGTAAATCACGAGTAGACAGCACGCGCTTTTAAAATTTAGAATGTTTTGGTTCTTTATTACTTGTGCATGAGTACCGATACCGGTGACACTGCTAGTGCGATAGTGAACATCTGTGAAGTCAATATTATTCTTCTTGACTGACACCACTCTCTTCGAGCGTCGGTGGCTTGAATGTTTATAACAGCGAAAAGAAGCCCTACCGTATCAAAGAGAAAAAGTACATGGGACAAAGAGACGAATAAACGATGCCTAGTAAAAATATGATGTCAGACGATGACCTATTCAGGATATCGAAGCAACATGCTAGCGCTGCTGCGATTCAGGTAGCTTCCGGCGAGGCGTTTTCATCGCAAACAAATCCTGATTTACAAATTGCACAGCAGTATATGTCGCTAGGGAAGGCTCTGAAATTGAAGGGTGACCACCCTGCTGCAATTCAAGAAATGAAAAAAGCCTTACAAATTCGACGAAAGGTATTGGGGAAGGACCATCCCGAGACTGGTAGGTTCTTTTGTCGATGGCTTACCACACATGTAAATTTTTTTTCTTGGATTCAGCTGCCATTGTCGCCTTTTTACTTGATGGTGCACAAGCTTCTTGAATCTCACAGTCAGCATTTCTTTCAAAACTTTTCAGCAAGTACCTACTACCAGCTCGGAATTTGTTATACGCAGGCTAAAGAGTATGACCATGCCTTGACGGAACTCAAACGTGCGTTGACGTTAGGACGGCTTTGCTGGGGAAAAACTCACGAAGACACCGGTAAGTATCATATTACGGACATTACTGTGACAGACTACTTTCCGAAGATTTTTGGAAAATAATCGGTTGTGTCTCTGTGCTATTTGTGCTATACCTTGGCAGTCCTGACATGGTGTTATTTTCGTTTCAGGATGCACATATTATCAACTCGGGATTGTTTTGAATGCCATGGGAGACTTCGATCTTGGATTACGGGAATTGAAAAAAGCGTCGGAAATCTTCATAACCATTCTAGGAAAAGACCACGAGGCAACAGCTCGAACCTATCACCACATGGGCGACTCTTGTGCGGGCAAGAACGACACGACTGGAGCTCTGGTGCAATATTCAAAAGCATTTACAATTCAGGTCTCGCAACTCGGACGACACAATCCGCAGACGATTGAAACCTTTCGGAAGTTGGATCTTCATATGAGAAAACAGGAATACTGAAAGAATAGATGACTTTGACTGTCGTTTTGCCATGCTTTGGTTGCTGAAGTTGTCCTGTGATATTTTGAAAAGGTTAGAGTCAATACAACACAACATATTATCGAACGGATTGATTGTGAATATGTGCTTCTTATGTGGCATACTAAACTCTTGGGAATGAAAACTTCGAATCGATAAAATTTAGCAAATTATTCTCTACGGGATTGCGCAATACCATTCTCCATTCAATTACCATCGCCTGAGGCGGAACGACGAGATGCATCCATTCGGGCCTCATTTTTGGTCGGGAATGAAATATGCTAGCTTTCACGTATTACTGCGCGTACCTGCAAATCATTGGGGGTCATGGTTGAGCTGTCAAGATCTGGTGATTCCATATGTTGTGTTGGAAAGCAGTAGGTACCTTGGAACCATGAAATGTTTCTATTGGAAACAGAATCGGGCGAGAAGGTTTAGCAACACAGTCCTTGGGGTGTATTTATGTGCTAATGTGTCTTTTGATTGCGAGGACCGATTCATAACACTATTGGACTACGTACTTTTCGAAGCATTCTTTTTCTATTTTGATTTGATCGCACGCATACTCGCAATTTCGATTCCTATTCGAAGTAGTTTTATTTTTTAGCTCCAATCGATACACTCCAAGTTCTTTGTATCGCCAGTAGTAATTGTAATATTGCTTGTCTATTTCAAGTGGAAGGACAAATACTTATTTGTTACCATGGAGCCCAAACAAAAATATTTTTGTTGCTACGCTATGCACGACAATCGAAGAAAGGGCAATCGGGAAAACGAATGCTCTAGGGTCGAAACATGCGCGTGGAAATAATTTCTACTAGTCATTCTGGTGCACACCGTCTTTTGTGCTTTCTGGATGGTTGACTGGTGCATTGTGCTCGCATTCGTTCCGTCCACCGAGGCAGAAACGGCGTCCACAGCCCCCGAGCCGTCTCGAACGAACCGCCAGATCCCGTTTCGACCACGCCGGCCATTTTATCGCACGGGAACGCCGTCCATCTGGCGGACCAGCTGGTACACTTCCACGAGACCCACCTCGAACATGCCGCCGGAATCCGGCAGGAGCGGCTCGTTGTCAAAGCCGTCTGCGCGCGCGGATTCCGCCTTGGTCAGGTCCTCGTTCAGCCGGAGCCCCGCGCCGCCCTCGTCGTTGCCACCCAGGCCAAGAAAGTCGTCGGTCGAAACCTGAAAGGTCTCTACGACCGCGGTGGCTCTCGCGGAAGCCAACCGGCTCGTGTCGGGGAACAGCCCATCTGCCTGGTGGTCGGTGTCAAAGGACATCGACGCCGTGCCAAAATCCAGCATGTCGGGGGGGTGCCATTTCCAGCTTTTGGATCCGATTGCTTTCTTCTCGTTGCCATTCATCTCCTTTTCTTCGTTGCCATTTCCTTCCTTTTGCTTCCAGTCGTCCTCCAGATCGATGCGGAACAAGAAACACCTGCCGTCCCCATAAACCCGGCTAGAGCTGTGCCAGGTATCCGACGCATACATTCCTATCAGGTACCGGTTGTCTTTCCTTTCAAAGGGTTCCAGAACAAAAACAGTGTGCCTGGATTTGGCGAGGCATCGGTAAACATTTTCCAGCGACCGGCCGTGATGGGAAGTGCTGTAGACGAGATCCAATTTGGTAAATCGCAGACTTAGGGGTAGCCACTCGGCCAGTTTTGTCCGTATAAACGTCGACTTCGCCAGGCGAGGGACCACTCGTTCGCGGTTGGGATCCGTCGGTGGCGGAGGAATGACTAGACCGAGAGGTTCTATCTGGTCGAGGTAAAAATCAATCGTATCGGTTCCTTCGTCTTCCCCCTCGCCATCTCCTCCAGTTCCGGCTTCTTGGAGAGCTCTTCGTCGTATTGTCTCCTCGCGGTACTTTTCTTCTTCGATTTCGATGATGCGAGCCAGGATGGGTCGGCGAGGAAAACGGAATCGCTTCCGGACTCCCTTGCCGTGAACCCCGTATGCCTTTTTCACCAGGACTTCGAAATTGAGGCCGTGACCGTCCCTGCCGCCACGACAGTACTCCACCAAGCCTAGCCACCACTTGTCCGGTTCGACGCTCACGTACTTGTAGTGTTCTTTGTATTCCTTCCCGTACAAAACCGCCAGAGCGATGCCGAATCGGAAAAGCACCTTGTTGCCCTCCAGGGAATATATGTCCATTAGACGAAGGACCATCCTCTCCGGAAAAATGGTTGTGAAAAAGTTCTGAAATATTTCTTTCGTGTATTCCGCATCGACACCCTGTTCCTTCATGGTGGCAAGGGTGTGGGGATGGAGGCGCCCCAGGACGTCCAAAAAGGCACGTTGCATCGCAATGTGTTCCGACCGGCTGGTGGCTAGGAACCAGGCGGAATGGTAATACATTTCCCGACAAGCATAAAACACATAGGGCTCGCTCATGAAACCCGATAAAATTGTTACCAGCGTAGGGACGAGAGGCGCGAAATCTACAATACCGCCCAGAACCGAATGGTGGAGAGCAAACACAACCTTTTTCACGGCATTTATACCCGGACAGTTTTCCTCTTCGAGCCTCGCCCACACCGAATCGTTTCCAAAGTCCATGGCTTTCACGTCTTGTTCATTGATTTGTCGCAAAGCAGAGCCTCCGATGCTTTCCCCAGCACCGCCACTCCCGTTCTGGTCACCTGTCCACAAGGAATCATACATGGAATCCACGGCTCGGACCCTCGCCAGTGTTCTGTACTTGTGGATTTCGGACAAATCCTGATCGATGCGACACGATTGGATGACATTCGACAGCCACACGGCGCAGCGAAGAGAGGGGGGAATTCCTTTGCGGATCATCTGTTCAAACCAAGATTCGAAACCGAGGTGGCAAAGAAAAAGACAATGCGAAATTAGAAGGCGGTTTGCGCATCACGGGATCGCCTCGGCATTCTTTCGGCAAATACTGTAGTATGTACGGTACTCACCCCTTTCAGGCTGTTCAAAGAAAGAAACATTCAAACAAGCAGTGCAGGCGTTGCAAGATGAGAAATTGTGTGCCAACGGGATTCGCCCCACCGTATCGAACACAACAAACCAACCACCCAATTTCCCGACCATAAAACCATCGAAAAGCACAACACAACACAACACAACACGCTCGCAGCCACTCACAGGTTCGGGTCTTCGCAAGAGTCCCCGGGTTCCGCCTCGGTGGGGGAGGGTTGTTGCTTTCTCCAGACAAAGCCCCTGCGCTGGGCCGGGGGGGCGATCGCAAAGAGCGGCGGTCGGTCGTTCCAGGCCTCGGGGATTTTCTGGTTGATCTCGCGGTGGCGGAGGGTGTCCGTCGAGTTGATGAACATCTCGCCGAGGCCCGGGGGGAGGTCTCCCCCCTTGCCGGGTGCGGATTCGGAGCGCTCCATCGCGTTCTGCCCTGCCTCGGAGGGTGCAAGGGAGGGCCCTGGGATCCTTGTGGAACGGGTGGGTGCCGGGTTCGACAAGGGTGGCCTTGTTCTCTCGAATGCGGCAACCGGAAAGCCTTCTGCAACCACACCGCGAAGCCTTGTCTCGAAGCGAAAGACGATGGGTTGAATGGAACGGACGAGTGAGAGAGAGAGCATTGTTCTTCAAAACTTGGAAAAAATCTTCTCGTCCGGATTCAACGGCACGGCGTACGCTGCGATCCTACGGCTTCTACGTGAACGTATACTCCGTACGAAGTACAAAGTACTTAGGGGTACTTGTGCTATCGTTACGCGTTCTCGTACCTAATGGTACTTTACCGTACATAGTAGAGAACGGGTGTCAACGGCGAACTCGGATAGACACTAGTAGTCGAACCGGTACGGGACTGGACTAAAAATACTCCTGCTTTAACCGTTGCACCTTGCAGACGTCGCCGTACGAGTAGTACCCATGCATTACGACGATCCCGTACTGGATGTACTTAGGAACACGCTCCGCATCGCATCGCAGAACAGACTCCGTCAGTCATTTTGTGAGAAAAAAAAATCATTGAACGCAGATCTTTTGTTTCCAGAAGCAGGAAATTGTTGGCAAAAACTGTTCCACCGTTTTTTCAAATCCAAAACGAATCCTCCTCCTCCTCGTTCTTGTCACAAAGAGAACAACGGTCCGGATCACAGGACTCTCTCCTTCTTTCTCTGCGCACCAGAACATTGCATCAACTCTGTTGCGAAGCTAGAGAGAACAAGCAAGAATGGTTTTCTCTCCGCCACGAACGTCCCGGCGAGGGATGGGTTCGAACGCTTTGTGGTTGGCACTCCTCCGGTTGGCGTCGCTGGTGTTGGTCGCCCGCGCCTTCTCGGGGAAAGGAACGCCGCGCACCAGGGCGTCCCCTGCGGTTCTCTCCGGAAGCGGGGACGAGAGCGACGAAACACCGGGGGCTTCCTGGGACGACGGCGTGGACTACGACAAGGAATGGCCGGACGGGGGCAGCGGCGGAAGCAGCGGGAGCCTGCCCGATCCCGGGACCTCCTGGGACACCCTTCCGAACAAGCTCAACGCGGACTTTCTGGGAAACGACGCGACCGAGCTGCTCGGGATCAACCTGGAGCTCGAGCCCCTGTCGGCACAGGACGCGGAGCGGCTGCGCAACGACGCCCGAAAAATCGTCGAGGAGGCCATCGACGCCGGCGTGAACGACATCGAGGCCCTCAAGAAGAAGATGAAGCGCGAGCTCGACGCAAACCGGAGGGCGATGTCCCTCGCCTCCGACATGGAGGCCAAGCGCCAGACCGAAAAGCTCATGAGCAAGATCGATCGCATGACGGGAGACTTTCTCAGGTCCAACGAGGCCACCCGGGCGTCGACCAAGATGGCCGCAGCGGCGAGCCGTGCCATGGAGGGCAGGGGGCTGGAGATGGGCACCTGGGGCGTCCTGGGTGGCCGGACGGTGGTGGCGGACGACGACCTGGCCAGGAGCGGGGCGGCCGGCCTGCTGGGAAGCGTGGGGAATGCCGTCCGGGAGGCCGACAAGGCGGCCAACACCAAAACGACCCTGGACGACTACAACGACCTGGGAAGCATTAGCAGCACCTACCGGGAGGAAGACCCGCCGGCCGACGTTCGGGAAAACCGCATCCTGATCGTGGCCGACACGCAAAAGGACAAGCTGGCGAAGGAGCTGGTCCCCGCGCTCATGGCGGCCTTCGAGCGAGAGAAGGACAGCATCCCGGACCTGAAATTCGATGTCCTCTCCCCGACTTCCACCATGCCCCTGGGCGGGAACGACAGCCAGTGCGTGGTGGTCTTTTGCACCGGATTGAGCCAGCCCGACTCGCTGAAAAAGATGCTCGACCGGCTGCTGCGCAGGACGCTGGCGACGGGCGGGGGAAAGGTCGGAACGCCCCCGACGCAGCTCGTGGGTGTTTCGACGCTGGGGACGGAGCGCTTTGGTACCTTTCCCTACAACATGCAAAACTTTTTGGGAGGGAAGCTCGAAACGCGGCGGCAGATCGAGGAGGTCTTGATCAACACGGTCCGGAACCGCGTCGTCGAGCCACCCCTGGACTACACCCTTCTCAAGGTGAAGGAGGGAGACTTTCTTCCGGACGAGAGCGTCGGCAGCGGATCACCAAGCTTTTCGCTGACCCCTGGGGACGTCCCCGACGACGCCACCTCGGTCGAAACGGCCGCGAGGGTCCTCCTGCAGGCCATTGCCTTTCAGCCCCCGGCCCGGAACTCCACCATCGGGCTGGCCGGGGTCCTGCCGGCCTCGCTCCTGGAAGACCCCTCCGGTTCGGAGGAAGTTCTCGACGAGCAGGACGATTTCTGGAGGGAAACCTTTGCCTGTTTGGACGGGCCCGAGCTCTGGCGGACCGTCCTGCTCGAGGTCGAAACCACCGGCGAGGGAGGCCTTCCGGAGGAAGAACTCGCGGGCACCTGCGACCGGCTGCTGGAGTACCTGGGCGAGTGGGCAGGGGTCCTGGCGCGGTCCGGAAAGGGCCTGACGACCCCGGTCAAGGCGGAAACCGAAGGCGGCCTGGACCCGGCCTCGATGGTCACCCCCTCGAACAGCCGGACCCTGCTGGTCCAGGACGGGGTCCGCCTCCTGTTCCTGCCGACCAAGACCGGCAAGAACTACGCCAGCAAGGAGGAGGAGGAAGAACTGCGCAGGGAGCAGCAGCAGACAAGCGGGAGCGGCAACCGGGTTCCGCCCCCTCCCAAGACGGCCAGGGAGGGCGGGATCGACGTGGTGGTGGAAATCGCCGATCTCCCGGGGGAGGGATCGTCCGCTCCCCGCCGCCGGCAGCTGCGGGTCCGGGCCAGGAGGACCAACTATTCCGAGGACGCGGTGTTCAAGGAGATGAGCGAGGCCACCATCCTCAAGCGGCTGGAGGAGGCCCTGGAGGTCTTCAAGACCGAAAACAACATTTTGCCGCCCTGAGGAGAAACAACAAGCGGTGGATTGGATTTTGTCGATCGCCGGGCGAACCAGACCGGCAGGAAACAAAACGACACAAACCCAAAACAAGCACGACCACAACCGCGTTCCCAGCCCGGCCTTGCCCGGTGCCGTGCCACCCTCACGGTAGGAGAAACGAAAACGAAAACGAACAATACTGTATGTTATAAAATAATCCTAAAAAAGTTGTTACCGCCAAGAGACGATGGGAGAATGTGCATAGTGTGTTTCTTCCTTCCTTCGTTTCCTCCTTCTGTCCGTCGGTTCGTCATCCTTTCCTAGTGCAGTGAAGTGTTGTTGTTGTTGTTGTTGTTGTTGTTGTGTGCATCCCCAAACTAGCTCGATGCTACCCTCTGTCGTCCGCAGGGTTCCCCGATTCGTTTGCCTCGATGATTGATTGATTGATTGATTGATCGATTGATTCGTTCACTTCCTTGTCGCCGTTGACGACGAAAGGGCGGGGTAGTGCTGCTCCTGGTGCCGCCGCTGCACCTGGTAGTGTGGGTTCCCCCGTCCGTACCCCCGGCCGGCCGCGGGGTGTCCGGTGTGCGAGGACGACACCGCCGCCCCGGGATAATATTGGGCCGATTGCGGCCTGTGTTGCTGCGCGCTATAGTGCTGTTGTTGTTGCTGTTGCTGTTGCTGGTAGTGTTGTTGGGGCTGCTGGGAAGGGTGGTAGGAATAGTGGTGCTGGTGGTGTTGCTGCTGTAGTGGCTGGTGCTGCGGCTGCCCATAGCCGTAGCCGACCCGGTGGTGGCTCCCGGTACTTCCCGGGTAGTACATCGTCCCGGATCCCCGGCCTCCCCCGGAACTGGCGTACCCCGCGGCAGCAGCGGCATGTGCCTGGGTGTACGGCGTGGGTTGCTGTAGCTGCAGGCCGGCTCCACGCCGAAAGTCAGGATCCGTCTCTTCTTGCTGTCGGTTTCGGTAGGTAGCTTTGCTTCTGCTGGGTGGCTGGTGGTGTTGCTGTTGCTGCTGCTGCTGTTGGTCGCGATCGCCATCACTGGTGCTCTGGTTGGAGGCCAAGGAATTGAGAGACGCGTTGGAATTGGTGTGCAGGGGTGCCGCAGAGACTCCGCCGTTCAGGTTGCTGCTGCTGCCACCGTTCTTGTCGTGGTTTTGCCCGCTGTTACTGTCGTAGTGGCTCGAAGTGGGGTGGTTCGCTGCCATCCCTCCGGTCGATGGATTCGCATTCGGATTCGCATTCGGATTCGATTCCGATCCGTCAGAAGAGGCCCGATGGTCTGCGGGTTGGTCGTCCTGCTGCTCGAAAATCCGGGCCCTTGCCTCCGCGTACTTTCGTTCCTTCTCGCTGAGGGTGCTTCCTTTCTTGGCGGCCCCCGCAGGCTTGGCCCTGCCGCTCCCATTGTTGCCGTTGCTTCCGCTGCCGCTGCCGCCCGAGCTGTTCGAGACGTTGCTGCTCGAGCGCCGCATGATTTTCATTTTCTTCTTGCCCTTGGAGCCTGCCTTTGGGTTTCCAATCCCAACGGGGCCCGGTCCCCCCGAAGAGGAGGAGTGGGGGCTTGGTGCAGGGGATAGATTCATCTGGTGAAAGGCCGAGGAGAGCTGGTTCAGATGGTTCGGGTTTGAACCGGAACCGGAACCGGGGTTCTGGTTCGAATTGGAATTGGAATGCGGGTTCGAATGACCAGGGAACGAATTGGAACCCGCTCCGGTCTGGTACTCGGACTCCTTGACGTGGAGCAGCCGGCGGGAAGGTTTCTTCGAGTCGGGACCCTTGCAGACGCGGATGAGGTAGCATCCGTGGGCATCGGCCGTGTAGGAGTTTTCTCGGGTCATGCCAAAACGGTCGCAGATTCTGTGAAGGATGCACCGCTGGAAGGTCGTCTGGGGCCTTCCGTTGTTCGTGGTGGAGCTTGTGGTTGTGGTTGTTGTGCTGGTGCTCGTGCTGGTGCCCGTTGGGCTTGTATCCGCTAGGGCCTGTGGCGGTTGTTGTTGTTGTTGCTGCTGCTGCTGCTGTGGCTGTCCGATGCAGCCAAGAGAGGGGGAGATCACCGTTGAGTTGTACGGACCGCCAATGTCAACGTACTTGTCCTGTGGCTGCTTCTCGAGAAAGTCGATCAGGGCCTGCTCCAGCTTCAGCAGACCGAGCCGCTCGCGGGGATCCCTAAGGGCCGCCAACAGGGCCGAATCGATCGGTTCGGTGGAAGACGCCATCGGAAAAGCGACCCAACAACAACAAACAACAACCGCAAGGGACGAAAAGAACTGACGGAACGTCTGTTTTGCAACCACGGAACAAACGTTGTGTTGCCGGGTTCGTTTTCGGTCTGGGTCTTCGAGGAACAAAAAGTGTTGTGTGCCTCCGAGGTAGTGCTGCTTTCTCACTACCACTTCTGCTGTTGCTTCTGCTGGTATTTCTGCTGCTGCTCTTGCTGCGTTGCGAATGCTTCCTTTCTCGCTGGTCCATCGGTGTATGGTGGAGTCACCGAAACCGTCCCGTCCCGTTGCGTTGCGTTTCGTACGAGTATCGTACAGTAGTACGTACGGTGTACTACTTGTGGTGTGGTTTTCTTCTGGGACAACGGAACGGGACGGAACCAGCGGCGGCCTGAATTTTTGTTTCGTTGTACCGGCAACGAGAAAAACTTGCGCAAAGAGACGAGACGAGACGAGACGGGAAGAGATGCGATGCACCCGTGGGCCATCGAGTGCGTACGAGTACGATTACCTCCCCCGCTTTGTGCCGTACTTACGCTACTGTCCGTACCGTACGTAGTTTTGCCACGACGATGCACCGCTGAAAGTTGAATTAGCGCAAAACAACCGTGCGCGGATTGAGCCATCCAATCCCAGCAGGACGTACTCGTACCGTGTCGTACGGTACGGTACGGTATTTCCGTGGGACGCAGGCTGGTGTTGGTTTGCCGGGTCCACGGTCCACAAGCAACACGTGCGGTTCGTTTAAGGAACTATGTACGTACCGCACGGTAGGGAGTGTACTGTGAGACTCACGGAGCTGCTTCCCAGATCCCAGAGGAAAGCCATCCAGGGAGGGCCTTCCTCCATCGTACGGTTCGTACGGTACCGTACGTGCGGACGATGGCCCTTTCCGGTTTGCCGGCTTGCTTCCCGGCCGAAGGACACGACACACGACAACCCAAAAACACGTCTCCGCTGGTTGTACTTAGAGTACCGTATTAATACTACCGTAGTACCGTCATTTGTGGTCCCCCGTGCCGTAGCGTAAACGGCCGTACGAAGAAAAAACTCGGAGTACCGAAGATAGAACGAGACGTTGCTTTGTTAGCGCCAACTGGAATGGCTTTCTTATACATACTATACGTAGATGATGATCATACTATAATAGTTTACGGAACTCCGTCGAGTGTCGACTCCCACCTACCAACAACGCAATACTGGGGTGGAACACAACGACACTAAACAAGCTCCACTCACAACTGGTACGTACTCGTACGTACTCGTACCGCAAGACGAATTGTTGTTGTGAAATCATCGCACCTGCATGGTACCGTACTTACCATCCCAGCTGAGCCATCACTTGTCAGGCAAGCAACCAAGGGGTATAGTATCATTCGAGAAAGGCGTCTTCACTGCGTCGTGACCGAACGGGCAAGGCGGTCAATCAATCAGCCATACATCGAGCGAGTCCCATTTTCGACCATCCTCCAACAATGAAAGCCAAGCTGTTGCGTTCCGGCCTGCTTTTGTTCGCCCTCTCCCAGAACTTGAATTTTCTGTTCTTTCTCTCTGTTGATTTCGAGTATTGCGGTGCCTTTTCGGCGAATGGTGGAAATTCTCTCGGTACGCTGATAGCTCACCAGCAAGTCGGAAAGGAGCAAACCAAACAAGCCGTTGGTTTCCGTCGACGTTCGTCGCTTGCCCTCGGTGCAGAGAGGGATTGTCGAGTTGCGATTTCGACCAATAGCTCGGACAGCGTTGCAGGCGAACCTTACAACGAGAATGACACGAGTCACAACGATTTGGAGGCAGTGAAATCGTTGACGAGGACAGCAATGTATCGTTGTGGCACGGAAGAAGGATTGGATGCTCTGAAATCCTTGCGCGAACTTTGCGACAATCGCCTTCCCTTTGACTTTGATTCCGTTCACCGTCGACAAACATATGGGGGGAGATTTTCATCGCCAGACCCGAGAAACGCCGCCATCGATCAAGGCGAAGAAACGATTTCTTTGCTGCCGGGTTTTTTGCCAACCCAAGCCGTCGGGGACTTTTTGGAATCCGTCCGGTGCATGGAAGAGCAGGGGTGGATGAGCACTAATCCAGATTCTGTGGACGGTCTCCCGAGTCTTCACCTGAATCTCGTTAGCCAGGGAAAGCCCTTGTTCGACGAGACGCCTCCATCCTGTGACGATTCTCGGGAGAGTCCGAGCGAGTATTGCGACGAAGATTCGTTCGAAAGCCAAATCTTCCGGCTTTACGATATCGTTCGTCCTTACGTCTACGAAGAACTTCTTCCCAAGGTCGATCAATTGCTGAACAACGCCAACAAATCCACTCCCAGAAAACGAAAACTCAGGGTCTCGGATGTCTTTCTTCGGCGGTACGGGCAAGATATTTGCGGAGACGTCACACGGAACGGAATCTCGATCCACTACGATGTTTATTCGAGGGTCACGGCTGTCGTGGCTCTGGACGAAGTCGCTGCCGAGGGCGACAATGGCCTCTTCACGCTGACCGTAGACGAGAACACGGGCGAGACCTCCAACCACAAGGCCCTGCGCAGGTTCTTTCCCCTGCGGACGGGAGATTGTGTCGTTCACACGTGGGACGTCTTGCACGGCGTCGACGTTCAACCCGGATTGGACCGAACGAGTTTGATTGTGTGGTTCGATGAAGTAGCTGAAGGCGAAGGCCAAAACGAAGCAGAATCGGTATCTCCGTGGTTGTCCTTGGAGAGCCAGAACGCACCACCAGGTGTCACCACGCTGCAAAACGGAAACGACGTGAGGCAATTTGTGCTGGCAAGTGCTCTCTCGAGTCTCGAGGGCGACGAAGACACGGAACTCGAGGAAATCTTGTTGTATCTGCGCAGTGCCTCTAGGGGAAATACATTTGCCCTGACTCGGATGGGCAGCATCTGTGACGAAGGGGCACTGTCGTCACCGGAATTGCAAAAGGAAGCAGTCCAACTCCTGGATCGGCTTCGACCTTTCAAAAACCTCCCGGAGATCCTCCAGGGACTTCTCGAGGGAAACGACGCCCAGAACCAACTGGCCTGCCGGTTTTGGTTCGAGGCATCCCTGAGTGGCAACCCACTGGCACAAAAGGCACTCGCAAACGAGATCATGTTCCGGGCCTCGCAGTCCGAAAGGCCGGACCAGCGCTTGCTCGCTGCGGTGTTGTTTGCCCTCGCATCGCAGCAAGAGGACGAGGACGGACCCTCCGATTCCCTTTCGCGGGTCATCGAGCACGACCTTGCGGCGCGCAACGTACAAAGCCAGGAGGAATTCTTGGCCTCTCCGGTGGTACAGACGGCCAAAGCCGCATTTGGCGCGGCATGAGCAAGGTTGCACCATTGCGCACCTATCATGGCGAGACTGCTTTTGGTGGATTTTCGGTTTGATTCGACAAAGATAATGATAGTCAGTGTTTTTGCATACCAATGTTACTTGCAGTAACTAATATGTACTACAATTAGTTCTGCGTTGTTAAACTTACTTGCATCAGTGCCAAGTAGAATTGGTTTTACTGCTACTTGTCAGAGATAACCTGCATGATGCCATAGAAATCTACATGATGCCACTACTAATATGTACCACCAGTTTCACAATCATTTGCAAACAGTATCAACAAATCCAACCCCATTGAAGATTAAGATAGTGCATTGGCTACACAGATGGAAATTTTGAACTAATTGATATCTCAAGTTGACATATAGTACTACTTTACATCTTCTTGCTTACTACTACTATTGGACTTGTCCTTCTTGCTGTTCTTGTTCTCTACTACTAGTATTCCTCCTTAAACGTCCCCTCCCATGTCCATCTTGATAATTGTTGTGGATCACCTCCTCAGATGCAACGAACTTATTCCAGGGAGTGTTCCGAAGGTTCTGCTCTGTCACGAGGAAGGAACGAGAAGATGCGAAAACCGAGTTGTTTTTAACTCATAACCTATCCAGATTTCGTCCAAATCATCGACGGATACAACGGCTCGTTCCTCAATCATGCCGGTGGATGGATACAGGGAGCGTGCCGGTAAGAAATTCATTGAAATTCATTTTTTCTTTTTTTGAATTTGTGAAAATCAAGTTTCCTCGAAACAATTTTACTTGCGCCATCTCAAAATTGAACAAACTTCTCCTTGTCTTCTTGATGTAGGAATCGGATCCCGGAATTCACACTAGAAACCCTACGTGCAAATAGATTCACGTTATACCGGTAGGAACAACGACGAAGACAGAACTATAGAAATACCGCGTTCATTGGTGTTATTGAAAAACTGATAGCTCGAAGGCGAGATTTCCAACAAGGTGGGAGAAGGGGCCGAAGGCTAGGCTAATTTACAGCGCAACAGAACACCAAACAGTGCCATCATGAGTCGAGATTTCAATCCATTCGATGACGACTATCAGGATGACAACTTTCAAGATCGGCCCGTTGGTGATAGCCAGGACCCACCAATTGACACCACGGCATCGTTCAACCGAGGGGACGAACTAGGGCAGAATTATACCAAAACACGCCAAGGAAGATCGGCCCCTCTCTTATTCTCGAATCCGTTTGTAGACCAAGTAGGTTCGGACAGTGGTCTTGGCCTTGGTCCTACTGCTACCGAAAAATATTTAGAGGACTCTTTCGACCGCGCACCCATACTCTCTCCTGACGCAATTGCGTCTTCGCCGTCTTACAAGTCTCCGAAACGAAATTATAACGAAGCAGGAACGATCGCCCATAGTGAAATGTCTCCTTTGTTACCAGACGATTTATCCCGGGGGTATCAAAGTAGCTCGCCTTCCCTTAGGTCTGGACGGTCCCGTCGTCGCAAGATAACGGTGCCTTCCAGAATTTTCACGGGGCATACTTCAGAGCCATCGCCGTACGCACACCGACGAAGATTATCTTTATCGTCGGCCGAAAGTAGAAGATCAGGGAACTTCAAACGTCACCGCGGGGGCCACCAGAAATCAGATGTGGTGATGAACGAACTCGCACACAGTGACGATCACGAGCACCCAGAACAAGTTCAAATGGAATACAAGTACATTTTGCTCGAAGATCTCGGAACAGCCGCCTCGTGGGTAATCTTGGTATTGCCCTACGCCACGTTTTTCTTCAGCATACTCCTGCTGTATTTGATCTCAGTTCCAGTCGCGGCTATGGGATCGACGGTAACGGCATTGAGGATTTCTTGCTTCTTGGTTACCTTTTCGTTTATTGTCTTCTGGATACGAAAAATGGAGATGGTTCAATTGTGCATCGGAGGTTTTTGCAAAAGGCTTCGATGCCTTTATTCTCTGGTTTGCAGAAACCTATTCAGGGACGATGAGAAAGGAGATGAAATAGATGGCAATACCGACGAAACATACTGGTGGGAAAATCCATGGGTTTTGTTTCCGGAAAGATACTATGTTCTACCTCTCTTAGTATCGTCCCTATTGGTTCTAGAACCAATCCTTGTGGTGATCTACTTCTATCCGGCCCTTGGGACCCCCACCTTGTATTCAATAGCTCATGCCTCTTCTGAGGTTGGGATACAAGCCTGCGCCTTTATCTATTTATGCTTAATACAAGGTTTCCGATACCACACAGGGGAACGATCGAAGCGAAGAGCAGAACTTCAAAGGAAAGCCTTGCAACTCCGTAGAGCTGTCAAGTTCGTTGACGAATGCAAGGACGAGCACAAGAGTTTTATTGACAGTCCAAAGGTTGTGCAAAATTATTACGACGAATTTGGAGACATAGACGGGAGTGCCTTCACGGGACACTTGCGCCTACCCAACGATCCTTGTGCCGATGGGTGGGCAGATTTCCTGTTGCCCAAGACTTTCCTTTTGGCAATAGGGGTCTTGTCGGCATCAATGGTATCATTCAGCATGGCACCACCAGGTGGGGACAAAGGTTTCCGAACCTTATTCGTTTTCGGCTCGATAATATACGCGATGACGCTCTCCGCTTGGACCCTCTTGACAATTGCTGCACTCTATACAACGGGACAAAAATTGAAACGTGAACCTTTTCTTGGTACTCGTCCTGCCCAGCTTGCGTACCGAATATTGTTTGCTCATTCTGGACTTGCTATCATTGGCCTCTGTATAGCTTCCATGCAATACATCAATCAGATTAAAATGGCCTTGAAGAACGAAACTATTTCCACGATCATAGAGCAGGAGAACAGGTCTGTCGTCTATCTCGAAGACATTTCCTTTCCGGGTATGTTCGGGAGACTTATTTGCTTAACTGCACAAGTTGTAATCACAGCTTTTATTTTTCTTCCTCCACACACAATGGATTTTGAAGAGGATTTCGACGACGACAAAAATGAACTAACAGAACTTCAGATATTGAGCAAAAAAAGGAGAGACAAACGCTTGGTTGTTCATTTGGCAAAAGAATCCAAGACCTGGCGCATTTTTCCGTGCCCGATCCAGAATCTAGATGAGTCAAACTCCCTCTTTCAGGACGACATGTTTCAACTGTACAAAGACTTTCATACCGACCGAGATACCCACCAACGAGGACTGGTTTCGATTGGACCATATACTCCAGTGTTCTGTGCCGAATTGGCATGTTGGCTGAACGAAGCCTCTTGGCAAGCATACAATTCTCCTGTAGAATCAACGGAAAGAAAAGACTTTGGGAATATCTTTGACAAGGAAGATTTCGTGGGTTGGATGAGACTTGATTTGATTGGGCTGCAATTGGAGGGTTACGTATACGACGAACGGACAAGTACACAAGCCTACATCGCAACAAATAGTGCTCCACAAGTTGACGGAGAAGAAGACAGTATCATCGTAGTCGCGTTTCGTGGAACATCCGACGTAGCGAACGTGAAAACAGATTTTAGGTTCAGGCAGGTACGTAAGGTTTGCAAATTGGCTTTTTAACCCTAGCAAAGCTTTGTCGACTTTCTCTTGAATCATGAACTGCAATAATGCTTTTGTGACTATTGACAGTAATGTACTGACAATAAATGCGATAATGACCACTCGTTTGAAAACAAAAGGTACCCCTGCACGACCAAATCACAGGTATCGGAGAAAGCTCGTTTCGCGTGTTTCCTGATCGAGTCGAGATTAGTGATGCCGACGGATGGATATGGGATACCAAGACCACAAAAAAAAATAATGATGGGGAGTACGTCAAATGTGTCGACTGTTGGACAGAGGCTGCACCGCCATGCACACCTACTCACACTGCTAGTACACCAAAAGCAGGTGGTAGAAACAGAACCTATTCTGTTGGTGGCTTCGATGGAGTTGTCTCGAAGGATACTGTAGATATTTTGAAGGGGGCTCCCCTTGCACGTAACAGTTTCCCTATGGTCCACGAGGGCTTCCAGGATGCTTACAGTGAGATCCGACAGCAACTGTTCGAACTCCTGTTGCCGGTCCTCCAACGTCAACTGGCTAAATCGACCGAATCCTCGACCCGAGCAGCTGGAAAGGAACCTCTGGCTCTCCCTAAAATTTATTGTACAGGTCACAGTTTGGGAGGATCATTAGCTCAACTGTTTGCTTTGGATCTAGCGGCAAATTGCGAGCTTGTTTTGCCGCACCGCCAATCGCAGTCTCGATCTTCCCCTTCACCAACACAAAACAAATTAAGAGAACAAGCTGGATTCTTCCCAACACTTACTGCGGTGACCGGACTACCGCCGAAAGATCTACGGTTGCAACCAGCCGTCGGCGTTTATACCTACGGCCAGCCTCGCGTGGGTAACAAAGCGTTTTCCCGGCTCTATAAACAGCGAGTCCCCCATTCCTTCCGGGTAGTGAATGAGGGCGACGCTATAACCACGATTCCAAACTACTTGTGGTGCGGTGGCCTGTACAAACACGCTGGTCTCGAGGTTATTCTGGACGCGGGCATGACGGGAAACGTTTTGGTGGGACCGACGGTTGTGGAGACCCTCTTCAGGTTTCACAAGGTCCGAACAAACGTCATGGCGCACCAGATGCAGCGCTATCGGGAGTGCCTGGAGTGCATCTTCGACCCGAGTGAACTTTTAGAATACTATCGCGACCACAACGTTGCCTACGAAGAATTGCGCGATGTTTCGGGCGGCAACGACGAAAAACGAAAGCAAGAGGAACGCCGTCAAACAAAGGAAAATCGCCCGATGGACGGATTAGATTGGAACTTGGACAGCCATAGGAAGGAAACAGGCGTGGTCGAAACAGATGAATTGAATTGGTACAGCTAGATCTAACAATGAATTCCAACAGAAGAAAGAATCGCAATTTGCATTCACAAAGTTCTCTCGTTAATACTTCTCATTTTTGTATCCAACCGTACTTATGGTAACCACGATTATCGAAAAAAAGTACAAGCCTTGTAACAACGGGAACTGTGCTGTTGCGTGAGTTTTTTCGTGGATGTATATTTTGCAGATTCGTTATGTTCAACCAAGAACATGCAATACGGCGCTCGAAATAGCTGTTGATGTTCAAGGGAAGCAATTTCGATAAACTCTTTCGACGTGTATTGTTTCCTTGCTGTCGAAGCAGGCACATAACAAACAGAACAAAGTGGCCATTGTGAAATACCATCCATCTTCGACCCAGCGCCCATAAACACATGCATTCCGATTTGCTTAGTTGCTCGCCCGCTTGCTTATGCGTAGTATACTATGTTACAATTTCCTTCGATTTCGTTCCGTCCAATCATTCGTTTATTTTTTCTTGGCCGCCTTGGGCTTGATTTCCTCGTCGGGCGTGTAGTGGATAAAAATTTCGTTGGGCGTCGACCCCGGTGCGTAGAACCCGGATCCCTTGCTCCAATCGTAGCTGCTGGCGTACGCAAAGAGATTTCCCTGGGCATTGAATGCCGCACACGAAATGGTCTGCTGGATCGCGTTGAAGGCCTTGAGGCGCTGCTTGTTGTCCTTGTCCCAAAAGGTCACGACGCCATCCGCTCCAACGGTCGCAAATGTTCCATAGGTATTTTGAAAGGCAATGTCGTTCACGCTGTACACATCGTTTCCTTGGCGATGGCACTTGAAGGCAAAGTGGTCCTTGTTGGCTACTTTCGTGACGTATCGAATTCCAACGCGGCCCTCGAGACTGCCGCAGGCAAAGCCCGTTTGGTCGGGAAAGCAGCGGACGCAGCGCGTTTGGTATTTGAGGGGAGACTCCATGGTGCTGTGTTCTCTGGGTTGGCCGCTGACATCATACACGTACAGCTTGCGATTGGCGGTCCCGACCACCATGAGATTCCCCCGAACGTCTAGGTCATAGATTCGTTCGGGAAGAACGAACTCTCCCGCAGGTGTGGGAGATCGTGTATCCCAGAACTGTTCCATTGTTACGGATCAAGCATTCGTTTATGCAAAAAAGAATTTTCAAATCCCGGGTGTTAGAACTAGTGGCATTCTCGCACAAACGAAAGCAGGATCCCTGCTTCTCGTAAACACGAACCCAACCGGAAGAGCAACAAAGAAGCAATGCCCAGTTGCAAACCTACCTTCAGCTTGTTGTCCCATCCCCCCGAGACTACCAGATTCGAAGAACTGAGAAATCCCACCGACTTGACCGGCTTGTCGTGGACTCCGATTTGCTGGGCGACGTTGTTGGGCGGCGTTTCCCCTAGCCGCCACATCCGGACCGCCTTGTCGGCCCCGGCCGAGAAGACGGTCGAGCCGTCCGCGGAAAAACACGTGTCCATGACCGGCATCTTGTTCTCGTGGTTGACCTGGGCCTTGGGCTGGGCGGCGACCTGGTTTGGGGCGTTGCACTGGACCTCCCAGACCCGGACCCCCGAGTCCCAATTGGAGGAGACCAGAAAGTTCGCGGTGGGCGACCAATTCAGGGAGGAGATCCCGTCCGTCCCGGCCTGCGGGACGCAGCAGTCCCCCTGGGCGATCGATCGGGGCTTGCCCGACGTGGGTGCCGGAGATCCGAATGTGGACATTGTTGGGTGGGAGACTACGTGACGCTATCCGAAACTGGGGCAGGCTTTGGTTATTCCGATCTTCCGTTCTTCTCTCCTTCGGCAACGGCGTTGAGTCTCCTTTGCTTTTGTCGTTACTGGTCTTAAATGGATTCTATTGGATCTGTCTAATGGAATGATGCAAGAACCCCGCTTTGGCTTATCCACTGACCTGCTAGAGCAAAGATACAGCTAACTTTTTTGCTTGCTACGGTATAGTTTGTCAAGAGGTGGTGATCACATTTTTGATGGTCCGTGTCTAGCATTAGGACCGGCAGGTAGTACTCGTACGAGTTACACTCCAGATCAAGCGGAACGGCCTGTTGGTTGTACCGTACAACGGGTATTTATTGCTCCTATCGCACCGTAGTAGCTGTACGAAAACTTGTACTCGACGAGGTACGAGTACGACACGGTACGTACGAGTACTGGCACAACCCGGACAGTTCATTGGCGCTGCCAATTTTTTGTTTTGTTCTATGCGCGATCGGATGTTTTCGCGCGGTGGATGGTTTTGTTTTGGTCGAAAGAGTCATTCGATCTTCTTGAAGTTCGAATTCGTGCGCTTCCGATTGGCCACGGGAGATGATGGCTTAGATTTTTCGTTCCCCGCGGAACATACTTCTCACGGCACGAGTGATGACGAGGTGTTAAAGAAGCTACATTACAGGCACCATCGTATCCGTACATACTCATGTACCAGTTGAACGACGAGTTTCACCAAGTGTTCCACTGTGAGAATCTCCGCTGCGCAACAAACGACGATACGTTCACATCACAATACACCGCGACGCCTTGCAATTGAACTTTTGCTTCGTCGCAACCCATCCAATACTAGCTACTGCTTTGGTCGACGAACCCCCAAAAACATAAGAGGACACAAAGTCTAACGCAAATATAAGACACCGAATCCAGACGCAAGCGTTGAAAAAAAAACAACTAGTGATTGCTGTTTGTCCTGAAATTCACGCACCGCTTCCAACAAATCCATCCCCGAGGTTGAGAATTCGAAACTTCCCTTAGACCCACCCAGTGAGATAGTCTCTCATAGACCGGTCACTATCTAAAATATCACACAGTACAAATAATAAAGAATGGCCTCAACTGCGTCCGCAAAAACGATGGCGACGGGATTGGTTCTCGCCCAGGTCTTGTTGTCGACAATGTTGCCCGCGGTCGATTCCTTTGTTCCTTCGACGACGTCGTTTTCTGATCGGATACATGTATTAGACAACGATTTTTCCATCCGTACCAATGAAAATAAACCAATCAACTACAACAGCTGTTTCCATAGCAGAATCCAGAAGTCTTCAACAACGGAAACCACACTAAAGGCCATCAACGCCGAAGAAACATCGTCGTCGTCAATACCGCCCCAAACCGAAGAAGAGAAAGAACGATTGGAAAAAATCTGCAGTGGCCTGAATGCTGCCTTTGAGGCATCTCGGAAGGACCTGACCAGAACCTGCAACGTCAAGGTAGGCGTGTCCCCCAATGTTGACAGCTACGGCGAACCCGTGGGGTCCAACATGCGGTTGGGTTGGATTGCCACCAAGGACGTCAACAAGGGAGACATTCTCATGAACATGCCGTACGACGAACAATGGGAGATCACCCCCAAGACGGCCCGCAAGACCGTCTTCTCTGGAATTCTAGACGACGCCTACGAGGGATGGACGGGTGAGACCGGCCTCTTGGCCCTCCAGCTCCTGAACGAGGTCGCCCGCAGCGCCTCCACCGGCGGCGTACAAAAGCCGGTCCGGGGCCCTCCGATCCAGGCCTTTTTGAACGAGTGGATCAATGCCCTTCCCACGCCCACCGAGCTCGAAACACAGCACCCTATCTTTTGGTCCGAGGAAGACCAAGAGATTCTACAGCAGTCGAGCAATACCAAGATTTATCGAATCCTGGACGACATCGAAGAGGACGCCAACTGGTTGGTCACGAACATCTTTGAAAAAGACCGGGCCACCTTCCCAGAAACAGTAGAGATCCAATCGGGCGAGACCGTTCCTTGCTTCAGTGTCGAAGGGTACAAATGGGCCATGGCCCTGACGAACTCGCGGGCCTTCTTTGTCGACGGAACCATTCGGCTGCTGCCCTTCATGGACATGTGCAACCACGACGACGAAGCCAAGGAACTCCAGGGGGGGTTCATGGGCACCTTTGGAACCACCAAGGGAGCCGAGGTGCTGTCCACCCGCAGGTACCGGGCCGGGGAGGAAGTCTTTTTGTCGCTCGGCCCCAAGAGCGCCGCGGATTATCTGCTGGAGCACGGATTTTGCCCCGAGGATTGCCTCAAGACGGCCGTCAGCGAGATCACCCTGGAACTCGATCCCGAGGACCGCTTCTACGACGACAAGATCGACATCCTGGAGTTCGAGACCTACGACCAGGCTCCCATGGATCCCTCCCAATCCTTCGATGTCGTTTCAGCCCCGGGACGGGACGGAGAACCGGACCCGGCCCTGATGCAGTTCGCCCGGTTGAAGGAGCTGAACAACATGGATGCCTTTTTGCTCGAGAGCATCTTCCGCAAGGAGGTCTGGGGGTTCATGGCCTACCCCGTCAGCGAGAAAAACGAGTTTGCGGTGGTCGAGAGCATTGCGCAGCTCTGCGAGACCGCCATGGAAGACATGAAGTCCTGCCCGGAACCGGAGCAGGAAGGGCCAAACTCGGAGGTCTGTGCCAAGCTGCGGGCGTCCGAGACCAGGGCGCTCCGGAGGACTCTGGAGTACATGCTTCGCGATAAGGAAGCCCTGGACCTCAAGGAATACTACCAGGAACGCCGATTGAAGGACCTGGGACTGGATTCCGAGTGGTCGCCCGAGGACGACATTGGCGATCCCGACCTCAACTGGGGGCAGACACGGTCGCCCGGCGGGGCCGATTTCGATTGGTAAACCAACCGCCTTACCAACCAACGACCTCGTGTAGCGGCTCTGCCCTGCATTACGATGCAAAGTCGAAACAATCGGGTAAAATAGAATTCAAGCAACAAGCTTACGAAATAAAGAAATAGTGTAAATTCCATCGCAACTTGAATACTTGACACTACACAATGAATGGAGATCTCCTGATTCCGTATTCAGCGATAGAACACCTGCCATGATACGATTGTGTGCGAAGCCTTCACCTCCTCGTCCACATTTTCGTTATCTCCTTGCACAATACGGTTAATGACGTTCTGTACAAAAACTTTCCGGAACACATGAGGAAAAATTACGCGGTTTTCAAGTTTTGCAAATGCAAGAGACGTCGAGCATTACGCAGATAACAATGCAGTGTATATACAAATGATACAGGCTCACTTTGATGTCTTCTATGGAGGTAAACAATAATAGCTTAACATTACGATTGGATGTAAGGCTTTGTTCAAAAAATATTCAAAAGTTTGTCACCCATGCAGTCAACACCGCAATGTTATGCGCCGCAACTGGTTCTTGGTTACAAAAATCGATCCAGAAAGGATCCAATCTCGTCCCAATCGGAGGTCGTCCACACCACCGCATCGTTGCTGTCTATTTCGTCGCCGTCTTTGCAAAACTCGCGAAGGGGTCGAAGGACCACCCCGAACCTGGAGGCCAGACCCATGGTGGATTCGGACCGACCGATCAATATCCCCACGTCGGCTTGGATCAGTGCCAACAAATCCGTCGACGAATCCCCCACGTAAACAACCGTCGCTGGTTCTGTCGTCGTAGTCGCTTTGGATTCCGGCTCGGTCGGCGTCTGCAGCCTTAGGATTTGCTCCTTCTTGGCAATAGCCCCGGGAACACTCAGCGAAACGGCACCGCGGTGGTCTACGGAGTTGCTCCAAACGGGGACGTCCTCCAGTGCGGGCGGCCCTGCGCCCTGATCGTTCCCGCTGCAGAGAGGGTGCACGAGGACGGCCCGGATCAGGGCCGGGCACCAGTTGATGCTCAGCACCCCGATGCCATGCCGCTGGGCACACCTGCGCAGAACCGGGAGGCAACCCTCCCGTAGCCGAAGGATCTCCGATAGGCTTTCTTCGGTGCCCTCCGAACTTGACCCACCGGCCATCTCGCCGTCGTGAGCCTGGATCGATCGGAGAAGCTCGAGGTGCGTGACACCCCCCAGTCCCCTGAGGACCTCGGATTCGGTCACCAGTCCGGTAATCTCGGTCGAGACACCGTCCAGCCGATCGAGGGAGGTTTCGAGAAGCTGGAGGAGTTCCGATTGCTGCTGCTCGGTTTGATCGGGGCCTCTCTCGAAGCTCTCCGATTGGATCGATTTCATGACATCGACGTACCGACGAAAATACTCCCCCTCCAGTTCCGCGAATACCGGCTCCCGCTGCTTCCAATCGGCCGTCGCTCGTTGGTTCCACAGGGACAAACCATGCTTTTCCGGGGTCGAGGGGACTTCCTCTGTTGCGTGCTGTTGCTGTTGTTGGCTCTGGACGATGCAAGCCAATCGAGGAAGGAGGGGCGTCGTGTCGCGTTCGGTGCAGGTGCCATCGAAATCCACCACGATCCAGCTCTTCGATTTCGGATGGCTCGTCGTTGCGCCCGAAGAAAGCGCATCGGCGACTCCAATGGCGTTAACGGAAGACGCGCTATAGCCGCTGTTGCGGACGCTGTCGTGACTCATTGTGGATACCAGCAGCAGCAAGACTACCAGAATTTGTCCAAGGGGGATATTGCTGCAAGACCTCTTCGAAGAAACTGCTGCCGCTTTCGTCCCGGAAGCAAATAGGAAAGGAAATCGTCCGCAGCGGCTTCGTTTCATAGTCCAGCCCAATTCGGTCCCGTTCCTTTGCTCTAAGGGCCCGAGGGGTCGATGCTCTATCTAGTTACGATAACAGTTACGCTAACAAAATTCACCGAGGCTTCATGTTGTTCATCCTAAATCCTAACTCCACTGGATCCAACCAGTACTGAACTGTACTACCGGTAGTATCGAAGTATTCGAGTCGAGTCGACCAGTTTTTCAAATCAAAAAGGATCGAGACTGACTCGTGACTAATTCAGACGTGCAGTCTGAGTTTTGAGTCGACCCTGTCGTCGTCGTTGGAGAATACGTATTTAGTCTTTCCTTCATCCGTTGTCGTGTGTTCACTGCACCAGAGCAAAATAATCTCGGTCTCATTTTTCCCTCTCTCCAACCAACTTCGCGAACGCCGTAAAATCTACGGAGCCCATCGAATCAGGGCGGGCGCAGGATGCATCATCGTTGCCCTCCACGAAGACACCAATCTTCCAAATCGCGGAGCCGAGCACGATCGAAATAATGCGGACGAAACGAAACCGCGTACACGTACCCCTCGTACTGAGCAAATCGTACCGTTCTCGATTTCTGTGGCAAGCACCCATCATCGACGAAATCGATTGAAACTGTGCGAGACTAAAAAACAAATTCATCACCGCTCCTCGTTCTCTTCGGAGAACCAAATGTTTCTTTCGCTGGGGAAGGGGAACGGGACCACATATCAAGGGGGAGCAGGAATCTAGGGCACCCTTTCCAGACATCTATACTAAGGAAAACCGCAACAGAGCGATTGATACCATCCGCAATCTAGGACTTCCTTCAAACGGAACCAAACCAAGGCAGCCATGTCTTCGGAAACCCCGCACATCCGTGGAAGCGATGGTGGGAACGAAACGCCGTCTTTGCCGTGTACGAATAAGAGTGCAGCTGCGAACGTGACCATCGGACAACAATCGCAGCCGCAGACCAAGACCGACCCTGTTGCCTCCCAGCAGCAACAGCAACTTTATCCAAAACCCCATCCAACCATGCCATCTCCGCTGTATTCCAACTTTGCTAGCAGCAGCAGCAACAACAACAACGGCCTGCCCAGAGCCAACAGAAGCAGCCAGATCTCCGCAAGCCCGGCCTCGGGCACTGCTTCTCACTGCCCGAGCACCAGCAATTTACATCCCCGCTTCACCAAAGGCGAGGGCGTTCCGGAGCCGAGGCCGACCGATGTGATCTGCGGCCGGGGAAAGATGACGGCCTCTCACCCGGCCAACCGACGGTTTCGGGAGCTGGTGGATTCCCACAAGGCCTCCTACCAGAATTCCAAGCGACGGGACGAAAAGACGAGGATCACCTGCGAGCTGGTGGACAAGCTCCGGGGGGAGGGGAGGTGCGTTCCTGCTGCTTGTGCTTCGTTGTGTTGTGTCATATGGTGGTGTACTGTATAGCATAGCGCAAAATACTCTATTGCTTCTTGGCCTTTGTTCTGACCGTGCTATTTTCCTTTTTGGTTTGCAGGTTTGTCTTGTTCGATCCCCACACTAAGCTGTGGTACGAGGTATCGGAAGAGTATGCACGGGAAAAGGTGTCCCATTCGCTGCGGAGTCGCTCMTCGAGCGACCATCGCACCATAAGCAATACCGGTACTTCAAGTAGCAACGTCCCACAAAAGGTGCCAGGTAGCAACGGCAACAACGACAGCAACACTGCTGTAGCCATCGCCCCCAGATCAGAAGGAACATCCATCGGGAACAGCTCCTCTCCGGCAATTTCTGTTCCCGTCACTTCAAAGAATCCAGCTTCCACTAGCAGCAGCAGCGATGCCATCAATTACAACCAGTTCGTTCCCAATTCTGGCGTTGGCACCGTAACAAAGAAAAATGCTTCCAGCACCAGCGGTGGAAGCCTCTCAGGCAAATCAAAAACCACCGGGGGCAAAAAGAAAACAAAGACCATCCCGCACAAGACCACCCACTCGAGCAGCAGAAGCCTCAAGGCCTCCAAGAATTCTCTCGTGAGCCCCGACCTGGACGAGATCGTCAAGCGCCTCATCTGCGACCAGCAGGAGCTCCTGCGGGGGATGATACAGAAGGAAACGGAGCGCTTCACCTCGGCGGCGGCCATGGGGCCACCCCCACGGCCCATGCCACTCTCGTTCCGGGCCGAGGCATCGGCGGTCTCGACGCTAACGGCCTCCCTGCCCAAGATGGGGACCGCTGCGGCCCCGCCGGACTACCGGCCCCAAGCCGGCGGGAGCCACGCCGGCACCGACCCCGCATCCGTCGGTGACGCATCCAAGGCGACGGCGCCCCCGAACGCCGCCGTCGCACCCGCGGGATCCGTGGGGGTTGGTTCGTCGGACGGCACCAAGGAGGCGCAGCGAGCGGCCGCCGGTGCACCCTCGGCGACGGCCTACGGAAGATTGCTCGTGCAGAACTGAATCCATTCGATTCGAATCGAATCGAATCACACGAAATCGCATCGAATCTAACGCTTCGCTGCACCATCCACTAGGGAGCAAAACCAAGAGGTGCGACCAGTTCGACAGATTTTGAGAAAACATTGATCAGAACCTTCAACGACAAACATTCATGTTCTGTCACTTAGAACAAAGTATTCCATCTGTCAGGAAAAAGCTGAAGACAGCGATGAAGTAGTACCAAAGGAGAAGGTATTTCTTGTGTTTCCTTCAACTATGATTCTCAATCACCAAATAAAATCAAAATCGACTACATATGATAATTAACAACACTTGGATTTGTCGCCGTTAAGCTGTCAACTTCAGTATAGCTTATGGAAGATACTTCGTGTAACCGTTCCTGGGAAGAGTCTCAGAGTGTCGGAAAAATCAAATCATATCCACAATATACCAGTATCACACAAGAAACGATTGCCAATAATCACTTGTTTATGAATGGTCGTACTCCTTGTTGATGTTTTGTATTGTTATGGTAAGATGTCTTCTTGCCACCATTTATACTAGTACTAGTAGCAGTTGTTGGAGCTTCTAACTATGTATTACTAGCATGTCAAGAAGTTGCTTGTTGTTGTCATGAATTGAGTGCTTTGGCGGTACGAGCTTCTTAAGAATAAGAAGTGCACTGCTACTGCTAGGACCAATTATGCTGCTGCTTGTTGAAAAGTCACTTCCACCATCCTTGAATGTGTTGCTCTTCTTACTATTACGAAGCAGTAGAAGTACTACTAGGTTTTCGGTAGATAGGGATTTTTGAAGGTAGCGAGGATTACTTCTACTCGTAGTACACACCTGAGTACCTCTTGTACGTGAGGATTCCGTCCCAGTCGCTAGTGAATGCCGCCCGCGAAACAGAGACAAGAATCTCCCTCCGAGCGGCGACTGGATAACAGATTCCATTTTGGACGATGGGCGCCTACGAACCGACCGATTCTGCCACTATTTCTCTCAAAGCCTTTCTTTCGATGCTCTTACACCGAGCTCTCCGATAGCCAAGGATCCAGTCACTATTTCTGCCCTGGACGTTTGAGACGCCACCACTCCCTGTCGAATTCCGCTGCATCACCCAGAAGAGATCACAAGTCAAGTCCATAACCAGAACAAACCGGCAGCTGTTTCTTGTCTCTCGCGGATTACATACCGCTGAATACCAGCATCGATGGCGTCTCCGTCGCCGTCTTTGCTTCGGGTCTTGTGCCTACACGACGCGGGATCGAACTCCCTGGAACTAAGCCGGAGGATCGATGCCCTGGGACACCAGCTGTATCAAAAACACGGGATCGATCTGGTGTTTGTGGACGCTCCCCTGGTTGTGGAGCGTCCCAAAAATGCCACCGGGGAAAGGGAACCGAATTGCTGCAGCCACTTTCGGCCCCGTGACGTCCTGGACCACCCCCCTCGGGCGTGGTGGGAGGCAGAAAACGACAAGCGCGACTTTCCGTCTCTGACGGAGAGGGCGCTGCGAAACGACGGGGGGGGAGACTCCAAACCCGAGAACGAGGAGGCCGGCACCGAGGTAGCAGAGACCTGGGATCCGACCCGGGAGGAGCAAAACAAGGAGAACGAATCGGGGGTGGCCGCTACACCTTCCCCTCCCCGCTACGTCGGCTTGGACGCGTCCCTGCTGCTCCTGCGCCAGGTCTGGGCCTCCTCTCCCTTCTGGGGGGTGCTGGCCGTAGGGCAGGCCGCAGGGGTTGCCTCGCTGTTGCCCCTGTTGCCGAAGACCGACGGAAGGCAACCGCAACCGCCGGCGTTCATGGTTTTTGTCAACGGAGGTGCCCTCCTAAGCGAAGAGGAAGCCCTGGCGGAGCACCTTCACCTGCCCTGTCTCCATGTTATCGACAAAGACTCGCCGGAACTGCCATCCGCAGAGAGACTCGTGCGCCAGTTCGGGGGCAGTGTGGTCGAAGGAGACGGTTCCCTCTCGCAGCGATCGGCGACGCCTTGTTCCTCGGCTTCCTTCAACAACCACGTCGGGCGGTTCCTGGTCGCCCGCAAGAGAGACCTGCGGAGAAACACGTGTGACGCCGCCGTCCTGGCCCTCCGGCACGAGCTGCACCGCACCGAGGCGGACGCGGCCCAGCTCGTTGCGAGGCACGTTGCGGAGAATCCCCCGGACGCGCTCATGGCCGTCATCACGCCGAGGGATGTTGGTGGTTTCCGGGACAAGCGCCGGGGTCCGAACGAGGACGGGGGTGGCGCTCCCTGCCCTTCCGAATTCTTGCTGCACCGGGCCAAGAGGAGCACGACCAGGGCGCACCAGGCGACGCCGGAAGAGGAGGACCACGAGGCGGAGCAAACCCCCGTGGCGGGGAACGGCTCGGAGGCCTCGCGCCACCATCCGAACCAGCAACACTAGCCAGCATCGCTTGGTAAACGAAAGCAGAATCCCATAGACGCCGTAGAATAGATCATACAAGTCCAAAAAACAAGAAAAAAGATTTCCGAAGACAATACAATTCTCACATTTCAATTCAATACGCGATGCTTTGATCGCCTTAAGCAACTCTACGAGTAATCGGATATGATGGCAACTTTCTGGATCACCGAAAAGGCTTGACGAGAATCGAGGTATGATCTAGATAGCTTAGACTTACAAGTTGAATTATTACACTAGGAAGATGCGTAGCGGATGAAATTTTTATTTACTGGCGTCTCCAAATTATTAGCAGCAGTTGTCTCGAGCGAGGCTGAGGAGAGAACACCGGGGAAACTGATTCGTCTCTTTTTTAATTTGTAATTCTTCGTGACAACAATGCGTGCATTCGTTCGTCTCTCGATGTGTGTTTGTCCGGCATATCTGTTCGAAAAGTTGAAACCGGATACTCCGATGTGTAAGTACATAATAATATTGTTTATTATATTTGGGAGGATGATGAGAGGAGGATACGATAGCAAAATGATCATAATTCCTTTTTGGGTTCCTCGGAGGAAGAGTTGGATGCCACCTCGTCACTAGTGTCCGAAGATATCGAAGACTGCTCGGGGACTTCATTTAACGACGACGTCCGTTTCATCATAGCCTTTTTCTTGTAGGCTTTCGAATAAAAAAGGCTAAACAGATAGAACAAGCTCGTCATTTCGAACGTTTGCACGGCGAAGCAAGCATAGTGCTTGGCTTCGGCTTGGCCCCCCTTTCTCACGATCGCGAAGGAAAATCCCGTGTACACTACAACGGAGGTGAATTGAAGAAGCTGGGCCTGTGTTATGAATCGCTTCCACGGACACGGGAATTTTAATAGGGAGAGCGTGTAATAGGAGTACATCATGACGTGAATCCATGAATTCAACAAAGCTCCAAAGTACGCATCTCCGCCTGGATAGCAGCGAATGGCGAACCACCAGGCCCATGCTATGGAAACGTGGTGGTAAAGATGAAGGAAAGACACCTAAGATACCATTCAAACGTATTCGTTCGAGCAACAAAACAGACGACAGTTTTTGGTAAGATACGGGCGAGGTTTTTCAATGAAATGTGCAATCCAACCATGGCACGTTCATCCCGATAAGCCGCTTCGACGCAATGGCGAAATCGATGACTCGATTTTCGAGTGACTCCAGTGATATATTAATGTCGCATTGAACGAATTCTGGATAGAAACTTATCTTCCGAATCCGATTGGGTGCATAATTCTTCTAAAAAAATGTTCACGTACCTGATCCATTCGTCCCCTCAAAACCATGAAAATAGTATCAAAAAATTCGAGGTACTTATCCATGTAATGAATCCAAACGGCGAATGTTGCACCGGTGTCGACCGTGAACAAATCACCAATGAAAGGATGCCCTCGATTGATCACGGCATCGAGGAATCGGTAGACCATCCATCCGTTCAGCAAGACTTGCCCTCCGTTGTAAACAATCATGGTTTCTTTCAGAAGCAATTTCACGTCCATCGTTGGAGACAGAAACTTTGTCGTCAACATTCGCAACACCGGCAAACCAAGTAGATAGCAAGACGTCAGTATCAACGKGATCTTCCAGCTATGGATTTCGGTACCGACCCCAGGGGCCTTCGATTCGTCATAAGTTCCGTCACCGCTGTGGTTGTAAAAAGCGATCTTTCCCCAGACTCCGAAGATAGCAAGCATTGCCGTTGCACAGCTGTAACGGCTTAACATGCTCGGAGGTTCTAACACCACATCGACCGGAGCTTTTGATGATGCCTGGATCTTGGATTTCGAAGTAATAGTTGGACCGCACATGTTCTATGTATTCTGATTCTTTTGCGTGGTTGAACCTGCTCTATTCAATTCGATCTTTCCAGTTTCGCTTGTCTGTCGTATCTATCTTTCACGGCTTGAGCTTTTACAGTGGTGCTTCTCCTCTTTCACAAAATTCACAAGCGTTAATACTACTAATATTTCTCATCTATGATGGCCAGTTTTCCTTCGATACAGCCATGCCAATAATTTCCTTCTTCTCAAAAGTACGGAGCAGCTGAATGCACGCAGGAGACGGATGCATGAACGTATCGTAGGGCAAGCAAGTAGAAGATGTATGATGTAAGCAACAACCTACGGTAAGTACGTAACTGATACGCCAGGGGAGTTAACCCACTGACCATGTTCTGTATCATGACTCCTGCTACGAATTACTCGTACGCACCGAACTGGGCTGGGATGTGGGAATGGTCATTGTGTGCGCACCTCAAAACCGAGCTGACGTGTGCTTTTCAGGCTTTTTGCGTCACGCCATCTGTTCTTTCAGTCCCGCATTGGACCGTGCAATTGTCAATCACGGATCAAATAAAAAAGAGAATGGGTGGACGCCGGACGCAGTCAAAAGATCTCTTTTGACCATGAAAAAATCGCACGGTTTTATCGTGATCGACTTTTTGATTGAATCCATCACCGAAGAACGAAATGCATGTTCAAAATCAATATGGCAACCCGCAACTAGTTGCTTGTCTCCATTTGGAATATGAAGAGGAGGGAGAACGTTGGTACTATTTTATTCCTATCATGCACACCCGATCATGTGTTTTGATGAATCATACATGCTGTAGCAATATTGAAGGAAGAATGTACGAAGATTGATTGTCTTCATATTTGAATTCCTGCTGGAGAAACCGAGACACGAAGTACTATGCTTCCACCAAGAATTGTGAGGAGGAAACACGAACCAAGTTCCTGCCATCGGCACTTGAGTTCATTGTCAAACGGGAAACAACGATGTTCGGCCGCCGGGTTCGGTTTCCTGTCTTTGCACTGGGTTACTGTTATACTACTCTTACTCTGTATAGCATCGCTTGGATTGAACTGCCAACCTGTGACCGCGTTTACAAGCTCGCCCGTGCCAAGCATTCATCGAACGCGAATCGACAAGAAAATATTGAAGAACAGCAGTAACGAAGAAGAATACAGGAGCGATGCAATCAGTCCACAAACACTACAAAGATCAACCGTTTCAAACCCAGCAAGGTCGGCCTGTGCACTCTTCTTCTATCCAATCCTCCGTCTTTCTGCCTGGAAAGAAGCGATTCGCAAAGGCTATCTTCGACGCACAAATGCCGATCCCTATTTTATTGGAAAATCGGTCACGGAGGTTTTGGTCGCTGCGGGGACGCAACTGATGGCCGAGTGGAACCGTCGGGGTGCCTCGAGGATGATCCATGAACTCGATTTCGTGGTGCCAGCGGTTCTAACTGCGGTCTTTGGAAAATACTACAGGTAGGTAACGTGCATACACATATTCGTATGGGCGGAACGAAAGGAGCCAATCAATTCCAATAGAGTTTTGTGTACCATCAGAAGCACACCAGATCAATGTCAAATTATTGAATGGCCCCATCCGTGGCTATTTCAACGCCGATGCATCTGGAAAATTGGGTACTGTCCGAGCTCATCGGTAGTACGTGCAATGGAGCCACTCGCTGGACCGTTCACGGAATCCGATGCGGCTTTGGGTGTTGCATCTATTTTGTCTGTCTCGAAGAAAAACCTTTCGAATTTTCTTCGGGCCCTGACGGATGCGTCCATTTCGATTCGATTCGATTCGATTCAATTCAATTTGTTGCACTGGATTGGTTTGTGGTTTCGTTCTCGTTCGGATTGAATTTTGCGATTTTCCGTTTTCGAAACAAGCTCACCTTTCCTTGAAATTGCTGGTTCCAATGCATGGTTTGCGGGCGCAGCATGTGGAGAACGGCCAAAACCCTGGACGGCGACGAAACGAAGGGCGGCGGGGCCCCCGGTGCCGGGGATCCCGTCCTCTTTGGCCGCCTCCCGGTTCCGTCAAACGCCTTCCAGCCACGCATGGCCGACGGCGTTTCCGTGCCGACCCTTCGGCAGCGGCTGGGGTCCTTCCTGGCCCCCGTCCCGGCGCTCTTTCGCGCGGGAACGATCGCCAGCGGCGTCGGCTACGGGATCGTTGCCGTTCTGGTCGCGCTGCGTTCCAGGCTGGTGCCGTCCTTCCAAACGCAGACCGTCCCCGTGAACGTGTTGTATGCCTCGGTGTACACGGGGTGCTTCATGGCGGTGGTCAGCAACCTGCGCTACCAGGTCCTGCAGGGAGTCGTCGAGCCGATCGCAATCGACCGGTGGATCTTTTCCGGGATCGGGGACGGTGGGGAGCCCGGGGCGAAGGCCCCCCGCAACAAGAGGGTTCGATCGCTGGCCGCCGCCCGTTCGGTTTTGATCTTTGCGGTTCGGTGGGCGAACGGCCTGCTGGGGAGTGTCCTGGCCATCAGTGGGATGCGCTTGCTGGGACTGCAACGCCTGAAAGGTTGAGGAGGTTTGGCAATCAATTTGTACCTGGCATCGCTACTGTGCATTTCGGAGAGAACCATTACCAGTTGTGGGTAGTCATGGTGCTTGGAGTTTGTTGTAAAGATTCTGCACCAAGCTTTGCAACCGATGGCTGTGGTACCCAATCATGAACAAGGATCTGGTAACCTGCTGGAAAGATAAAGATGTGTTGAAGATTCTTGCAGTGCACAAGCTTCCATTCGAATGTAACAGAATTAGTTCAACACCTTTGATGATATTTAGTGTAATACTGTATTTACTACCATGCCTCTTGTTCCCAAGATGAAATCCCGTCCAGAGGATTTTGAAAAAAGAGACACTTCGCTTTGTTTCCTCCTTACTTTGTAGAAGTACGGTAGTACTAATAGTGTTGGTATTTCGCGCGGAATCCCGCGCCGAAGAGATCTCGGTTCCCCCCTGTAGCGTACAAAACGTTGCTCTGGTACTATTCGTATCGTACGGTTCGTACGTTGTCCCGTCTACCGGTATGAAAGAATAATATGAATGATCATTGCTCTGTAGATCAATCGAAATGATGATGGAAAATGAACAGACCAGTTTCTACGGAACGAGTCCCTACGAGTAAGTAACTTGTACGGTGCATCCGCGCCAGGAGTTTTGTTTTGAGATGCCGTGCTGTCTGTTGTAGACTTCTCGATGAGAGCTTTTCTTTGTGCACATTAGAATAACAAAGCAACGAGGTGAACGGTGCACACGCCGCTGTGTGTGTTGATGACAATAGTTTGCTCGTCTCCACCCACTTCATTCCAATACGAATAAGACCATTTGTTGGCCTACAGGGCTTATCAATCCCAGAGTTCTACCGCGATTCTAGGACTACAAGCAACAATACTGAATGACAATACGGTTGCATCGAAATCCGACCGTCTTCGATCCGGGCTTGATTCGCGAACACAACCGTAAGCGTGGAGCGACGGAGAACCCGCTGTGAATACATCCACGATCGTGGCAACTCTTTTCCTCTCTTTTGCTCCATCCACGCCACAACAAGGGGTCCGCTGTGTTCATTGCTTCGTTGACTCTGCACAAATCCACGAAACGGCTCATAATTCTCGACAGCGAATCCACGGAATCCGGCCGTCTCTGTCTGTCTCTCTCTCTCTTTCGTTGCGCTCGGTTCTGGTGGAACGATGCCGTATCCAACGGGAGACGAAGACTTTCGGCAGAGGCCCGGAAAGCGTAGGCGGACCGCCAATGGCGCCTCAAACCACGGCGATTCCCGTCCGGGCGAAAGCAGCGGCAACAGCGGCAGCAGCCTCGGTGCGATCTTCGATCGGGTCGCGGAACGGCGGCGGAGGGAAGTTGCGGGGCTCGCACCGGGCGCGGCCAGGGCCCTGCTGGTGGGCATTCGGGAGGAGACCGGGAAGGGGCTCCCGTCCCTGGCCGCGGCGGAGGCCCCGGCGCACCGGGCCCTAAACGCGGAGGCGGCGAGCACGGACGTCCTGGGGCTGGTCGAGACCGAATACGAGACAATCCGGAACGAGGCCCTCCCCCCCGACGAGCGGCGGCGGTCCTGGGACGTGGTCGGCGCGGTCTTTCGCCTCATCGATGGCTTTCGGGGACGGAACAACCCAGACCAGCAAGAAGCCGGGTTGGCGAAGGGGAGGGACGCGCCCGGTGTGGTGGAGAACAACACCGGGGCCATTGGAAGAGCCAGCCACGATGGCAACAACAACAACAACAACAACAACAACAACAACAACAACAACGGCAGAAACAACAACAACAACAGCAACGGCAGCAAAAACAACGGCCAGAATGGTATCAACAACACAGGTGCCACCTCTGTAGCCGCTTCTGCACAAACGTCGGCACCAACGTCCAAGAAAACTCCGCCTTTCTCGAATGCCCGTCCGACTACTCAGAAGTCTGCCGTTCCTGCTACTGCGGCAACTCCTGCGACGGAGAAAAACGGAGGGACCGTGCCGGAGAAGTCTTCTCGTTCGCAACAAGCTGCCACAACAAACCATCAAAACAGAATTAGCAAAGCAGCTACCCGGACGGTGGCTTCTCTGTCGGCCGCATCCGCCTCGACAATGGCAACGGCACTGAGCAGCACTTCGTCGAGCGTTACAAATCATGCAACTCGCAACAACACGACCGGAGCCCTGGCTCCTTCTACAGCTCCCGTTGGGAGAGCTCCACCTCCCTATGAGAAGAGATCCGCAACGACACAACACCACAAGGCACAAAAGCAACTCGAGCAACAGCAACGACTGCATCCGGAAGCAAACAAACACGCTTCTGCGAGAGAGAAACAAGGATCCMAGGCTAGTAAGCAGACCCGGGCGGCAACCAAAACCGTGGCAACGATGCCCGGAAAGAACGGCGCAACAAACCCGCACGCCAACAAAACCAACGAGAGTGCCTCGGCAGCAAAGGCAGCACGAATTAGAACGGCGGCACAATCGTCAACATCAGCAGCTACCGCGGCGGCGTTCGATCCGCCGTCGCAGCCCGCCACTACCGCCAGCGCAATATCGAGGTCTTTCTCGTCGGTTTCCACCAGCAACTCAGCCAGCCTCCAATCGGCACCGATCCAAGACATGGCCGCGAATACGTCCTCCCCGGAGAACGACTCCCTTGATACCGCGGTGGCAGAGCAACCGATTCCGACGTCCAAGACCAGCGAGGTGAGCCTTCCGGCCGACGACAGCACTCAGAAGCCGACAATATACGGCTGCTTTATGGAAGACCGCCCGCAGGTTTCGCTAAAATTCCGACAGCACACACCCACAAAGAACATGGCCGAACACTTTCTGAAACGATTGAAAAAATGGGATCCCTATTGGAAGATAGAAAACAGCCTGCACGTAGGACTCACCGCTCCCGTCACGGAGAAGAGATGGATGCGAAAAACCGACAAAGTTCCGGACAAATATTTTCCCAACACGGCGGGTTTCTTTACGATCAAGAATCTTTTGAAAACCGTGGGACCCAGAATCCGCCAGGTTGGCGCGAGCCGGGCCCCAAGGAACGGGGAACTCCGGGTTTTGATTCGGATGCTTCCCCTTGACCTGTCGAAGCAAGACTATGCCGGGAAGAATCGGGCGGACCTGCACATTTGGCCCAAGGGAACGTTTCTGCAACTCCACGCGGCACCCTCGACGCGCACCAAGCCCCGGCCACTCCAACTCCGGCAGCGAAAGCAGCAAAGCCACTGTTTCACCAAGTGGCTCGGCATATGCAACCACCTTGACGTGACGTCTTTGCTTCATTCCGCGTGGTCCTCCACGACGACCTCGCTCAATGCATCGTCCGATACGACGGTTCAGCTCGGTTGCTACGATCCCGAGCTGTATTTTTTCAGCGTTGCGCTCTGCCGATACCAGGAGCCAAAGACGATCGTTCACAACCTGATGAACGCCCCTAGAATCCCCCATGGTACCGCCGCGGGGGAGCCCGCGGTCCGAATGGTGAAGATCGAAGAAATGCACAACAGGGCCAGGCGAAAGATGGAGAACAACAACGTGTTGCTTCTAGACGACAGCGACGACGAGGACGGCGGGAACCAAAGCAAAGCAAACGCTCCCGAAGAGCTCCGGCGGATCCTTTTCTCGATTCGAGATCCGCTTGCCATGGGGGTGCTAACGACTCCCGTGAGAGGCAGAAGGTGTTTACACGTTTCGGTACGTTGCGTGTTTTTGTGCCCGGGGGTGTTCGTGCGTTTGCGCATGGGTCTGTATCTATGCTTCGTCCTTCTCTGTGCGACCACCCCTGGTAATTTGCTGTGGGCGTTTTCAGCCTGATCCAATCCCGATATCCTTTGAAAAACGAATCATCGGGTAATCCTCACCCTTTCCCCTTTTTCTCTTTTGAAACAATGGATTGTGTGTGGGGGGGGGGGTTGCTTTTCAGTGCTTTGATTTGAATAGTTTCTTACACATGAACAAATCGGCGAGTGGCCAGAGGTGGAAGTGCGGCTACTGCGAAAACTTTATTTCTTACGAAGATCTCGAGCTCTGTCCCCTGACCGAAAAAGCGGTGAAACTCTTTGGCAGCGAGGTCACAAATCTCCAGCACATGGTGGAATTCAAGGAAGACAAAAGCATGTCCTTCTGTAAGCGGGTGAAAACCCACCAGGAGAGGGCAAAGGCAAAGAAGGCAGCAGCGGCACTGAGCAACACCCACGGTGGCAATCCAGCAATCGCGGGGGGGGGAGCGAACGACGTCGTCGACCTTTTGGATTCGGATTCGGAGTAGAAGCAGCGGCATGTGTATGGTTTGCAAGGAAACATTCTGTGTGCTAGGTTTTCCGAGAGCAATTTTGCCACGGAGTTCCCTGGGGTGCGATGTCGACAAGCCAACGCACAGAACCACGGCGCAATAAGTAGCCTAATTCCATTACGCTATGACAGGAGATGTCTTGGCTATGTTCCGTTTTTGTTTCATGAGAGGAGTTTTGACGCAATACAGTAGTGGTGCATTTGCGTCGGAATGACCGTTCCTTATTGATTGACCATACCATGGGTGATATTACCAGAGAAACGATAAAGCCAAAGAATGAGTTGCACTAGATTTTACTATTCAAAGCAATGACTCCCAAAAGATTCGAGTGGTTCTTATGTCATAAAAAATCGTTACTAATATTTGCTGGATTTGTTTTCAGATATGCATCTTGTTTAGGTCCCAGTTGTACGTGCAAGATGGCAATCGTTCACAAAATTGACATCACTGATTATGTTTACGTTGGTATTTCTTGTTGCACTGAGAACCTGGTTGAGTTTTTCGAATTGTTATTGATATATTGTGAGGGTTTTTCAAAGTATGTAGTCCGTGACCTTTTTCGTGGCCACGTTTCTCATTCGGAGCTCCTGACCTGTCAGCAATCAACGCATGTCTTGTGTGGAGATCTGTCTGGTCCCAACCTGAGTAGATTGGTTTCATTCTTTTTGTTTCGTGCTTAAAAATCTTCGTGATGTAGATGGGCATTGGGCACTGTGCATTGCTCCTATTACAATAGGAAATATTTGTTGCTGATAAATTTGAGAAAATGCTGCTCCTCTTACTGCATTTGCTGCTCTCTCTGGATATCCAATAGGGAATGTTTCTCGGCATCAGATGCCAAGGCTGGCTGTTCGTTAGCCCAAGACAACTTAATTACTTTTGGAGGAGCCAACGAATTAGTGGAGGAGCTGGCCTCCAGCTTGAGGTAATCTTCCGCAGAATCATTGGCACCACTCACAACACTGTCGTCTTCTTTTGCTTCGAATTGATTTGTACCGGAGCTTGCAGGCTGTTTGTCGATAAATTTTTCCAACGGAACACAACTATCAACGATATTCAAAGCTCTAATCGCGGCTGGAACATCCCACAATAATGCAGTGGGAAACATATTCGGCAAAGAATCGCTTTTGCTTTCGCTGGATACGATTTTGCTCTGGTACTCTTCTAAACGAGCTAAGAGCTCGTTGTACATATGTTTAGAGTCTCTAATGAGAGCATCAGAGGTGCAAATGTCTTCCTTCAGTGACATTTCCTTTTTAGGAATGGATTCCTCAATCTGTGAGATGATAGTTGTCATCGAACCGATTCCCTTGGCTTCCTTGTATTGAGACAATTCAGATCGGAGAGAAGCCAGCTCAGTAGTCTTTGCTGCAATTCGAGACCGTAATTGTGCTTCATGCTTGGCTTCGGCCAAGAAGTAAAGCCTTGTTTTGGAGAGAAAGTCTTCCATGGCAGCTGATGTCGAGATTTTCGCAAGATAATCCTCCGAGCAATTTTCACTTTTGTTGTAAGTATCATGTCTCACACTTTTTTTAGCCGACGTCGCCTCCTCTAGTGCATTGCCGTAGAAATTCATCATTTCTGCCAGACTTCCAACCATGTTTCCATAATCGACCGACTTCTCTGCCGTGCGTATTTCTTTTTCAATCCGTTTGGCTTGAAAAATATCGCTTTTATTTTCTTCCTCGATCTGAGCCGAAAGTTCTTCGATTTGAAAAGCTGCATCATCATCCATATCCTCCAGTTCTTCCAGGGCCGCGCGGAGCACCTCGATTTGCATTTTGTAGGTCGTGCGTTCGGTTTCTAGTTCTAGTACTGACTCGAGGAGAAACTGAACCTTTTCGGATTCTTCTGCCGATGGTCGGACCTTCGCTTTCATTGTCTTGAGTTTTGCCTTATCCTCCTCGAAACGCTTCTTCGTCGACGGGTTGACGAGTAGTAGCAAAGTATCGTCGTTATCTAGCGGGGATGAGAACGACGGGGAGAGCTCGTCGTTGATCATTATGTTGGAAATGATACTCTGTGTCGAGTGTGATTCATCCCCGTTTACAAGAACTCCATTTGAATAATTTTGCATCGCGTTCATCACAGTTGTATTGGCTAGACTTGCGATAAGCTTTAGGCCATTGCGCTCCGTACTGCTGCCTGGCCCCTTGCTTCTGGTGTGATCGGTAACGACCACATTCGTCTTCGGTTCTTCTTTGGTGGCTCCGTTCACTCCTTTGATTTTTTCGAGTGCGATTCTCATTTGAGATACGATAAACCATGACACCCGATCGGCAATGTCAGCTTTTTCGGCATCGTTACTATCGTTGATAGTTTCATCTTTCGACATGAGGGCAAGTTCTCTGGCCTGCTTCAACATTTTTTCCATCCATTTTTCATGCTCACTTCCATGCTCTCCCCCTAGTTCCTCGACAACTCCACATCGTTGTAAAACACTCGCAAGTAACTTCATGAGACCCGGTAGGATTATGGTTTCGAATCTGACCGAATCCTGAATTTCATAGGAGATCACACGCCGAATAACAGTAGGTAAGGCTGGAGTTCTGACTGCAATGCATAGATCCTCGACCTGAATGAAGAAACATCAATGGCCCAGTGAGGTGAATGATAAAATGGTGACTTGATTGAAGGGACGAAGAATGGATCGGAAGAGAACTGAACACAAAAAAGACAGATTATCGTTACGCGACTTACCTCATGTGGTTTCGCTGCCTCCCAAACCCACTTTGTCATGACGAAGAGGACATCGCCAAGATCCTCATACTCTGCCACCTTGATGAGTTTGTCGGCTAGAGTGGTCGGTGAATTGGGTTGCGCATCTGCTGTGTTTTTGTTCATATCATCGTTGTCAACATTACAATCTTCCGTAGAAACTGGACCTTCGGGGTTTTGCGTTGATGCTTGCAAGCTGTCTCCTCCATCGCTGATGGAAGCCATGCAATCTGTAGAGAGGAAGGAGTGGGAAAGCGGCGACTCCGTTTCGGTTGATTCGGTATCGTAATCTTCGTTTTTCCCGTCGTAGACGATCTCATCTTCGTTGGATCTGCTATCCTTGTTGACGACCACGGGGGCTACATTCTTGGTAGGACTTTTCTCCTCCACTTGATTTCTGTCGCCTTCTAAGTAAAGAACCACGGCACTATATTCATCATAGGGTAAGCCCTTTTCCCACATTTCTTCCATCGCCTTGTCGACGCAATCTGCACGGTAGCCGTCGCTTTCAACCAAGCGATGTCTCAAGACTTCCTGTGGAGTAGAAATATGACTGGTAGCAACGTCGCTTTCGTTGGAATTGCTTGCGTCGATCTTTGAAACGACGAAGATATCGCCAACACTGCTGTCGTCGTCGCTATCTGGAATGGCAACAACGTCATTCTGTTTCTTGCCTTTTTTCTTCTTCTTCTTGCGTCTCTTTCTGCGAGGCTTTGTTTTTGTCTCCTCGATCGGAGGAACAAGAGTTTCTTCTGTAGATTTTGAAAATGCGGCGAAAAACATCTTGTATATCTTTATCTCAAATTGAGGGTAAGACTGATGGGAAAGAAAAGCGCTCCTGGTGCCCAGTAATATGCGCAGTTGATTATATTGGTTAGGTAATTCGAAGTGGTGCAGCACGTTGAGGTTAGAATTACGAAGAGTGCAAAGGCTTCGTGTTTGGAATTAGAAAATTGCTGCGCTTTTTTTCACACTTACACTAGGAAAGTGATCTCAAGGCGTGTCCGCAAATTTTTTTGCACCCGATTTCTTCGCGGTGGTTTCAAAACTATTTCCCGTGCAACTTACTGTACTTTGCGGTACGAATAGTGCTCTCCAGGCCAGCGAGGAGTAAAAAATTCTTTACAAAATTACTCGTAGTAGCTTTGCGCGTTTAGAAAAAGCTGAAATTCCTTGAGGAGGCCGAAAACTTCCCAAAATTTCACGCGGGCTTTGTAATCGTGATAAAGTGATACTTTTTCAGTAATCATACGTGCCGGTACTGTACTAAAAATCAGGCCGTTCTGATTTGAGGCGAAGCACACAAACCGTCATAGCATGATGATACCAGTGTTTCAATACAGTGTTTATGTCTTTTGCAATTCCGAGGAAGTTATCAGGTACTGTACCTGGTACTGTAATGTAGATACGTACGTACGGTAGCAGTAATCAAAAATGGATTTCTCACCTTTTGCCAGCCAGATTGTTTCTATGTATGTATGTGGGCTATTTGAGAAGCTCTTCGAAGTACCGGTACGTTAATTTCAAAAAGACATTCCCCGGACACTAGTACTTATCGATAGCAAAAAGCATTCCGAACCGAGAAATGACAGGTATAAAACACTGTTCTTCACGTTGGCCTCTGTAGAAATCGTACTGACAGATGCAAACCTCTTACCTGTAGAGGATACGAAGAGTCGCAGTCATAAAGTCAGTGAGAGAGAAAGTCGCAAGATTTCGAAGGTGTCAGCACAGAACTAATACGATGATACAGTACTTTAATGTACAGGCAGGAAGTACGTGGCACGAGAAAGGGTCATAATAGAGGGGTGCGCAACGCATCAAAAACTAGAATGGAATGGGATCTCCTTTTGGGGGTGTTATATCATTTATTTGGGGGAATGTCAAAAAATTAAGTTAGAAGTAATTACTACCTCTGTTCCAAAATACTGGTACAGTTTGCACCTCTTTGGTTGAAATAAGCTCAATATTTGGGCAATTTCTCTGCTTATTTTTGCACTAAACAGATCCATTAGATTATTATACAGTCATGTAGATTGAATATAGTCAATGTGTCTGACCTCCTTGCAATAGCTACTTAAAGAGGGCTTGTTTTGGCATATAAATGTGATTTTACCGATTGAAAGGGTTCTACTGGTTGGTTAAGGACGTGACCGGTTTATTTGCAAAGCCTAGACTGAGAGCTTTATCATGATATACTTATCGTACTTATTGAGAATGTTGAATGCAGTCTTTAGTCGGTCACTAGAGAACCCCCAAATATTGCTCCTCGGGCACTTGTTCGGGCGCATGCAGTTTTCATGTGGTTTTTTGAATTTTGCACTGGAGAGAGGAATCAAAGAGGAAAAAAATGCTGTGCACATGGTCCAAAAATGCTCCACTACTACTTTAGTCGGTCTAGACAAACAGAAAAAAATTAGTATTTGGAATCTTATCTACTGGTACTACTACTAGTAGTAGTAGTATACGGTACTGTATACTGTAGAACAGTAATGTCTAAAAGCATGTGATTACATTGCTACAACCATAGTACTGATAAACACCAAAGGACTAAAAAGTTTCATTCCTGGATTCTGAGCTAAATTTTAGAAAGGGGGTCTGGGCTTTGATAAAAAATGACTAGATGAAGTCAATCTAGACATTTTTTTTGTCCATCTTTCTATCAAATCTAGCCAATTGAGATTCACAGGAATGACCCAATGAAACAAAAGATGAATATGAATTATTGAGAAAAATACATTCAAGATCTCAAGGCAACAATAATGAACAACAAAGAGCATTTTTCCTGTTTTCTACCAGGGGCTGCGTCACAAAAAGTGATCGCACCCTCTCGCATGCTATCACGACGTTTTTTTCGAGAATACTCACCCCCTTTTTAAAAAATCACGTG